ATATGCGACTATGTAAACTGCTTATAGAGAGGGCTGCAAAGCATTGTGAAGCGTCTATGAGTCTAAGAGCTATTGCTATTTTGCTTGTCAAAAGGTTGCAAAAGTGGTTCACATGACTTTAGGACATAGCAACCGTCGTAAGTATGAGTCAGTTGCCAAGCATCTAAATGAAACTGCTCCAAACTCGACTGCAGAATATATGACTTCTGCAACAGAGTGGTCAATGCCTAGAATGCACTATCTGACTCTGTAATTTCTTTCCCAAACCCCCAACACTTTAACCTTAGACTGTCAACCTCACCCCATTCCTAAGAGGTCTGTAAGGGGCATGCATAAGCGCACCAAAGTGCCTACCGTCCCTGTCCTAATATTCCCTTGTATTCGTATTCATTTCATGTATTTATAATCATGCTTATACATATATTTGATATCTAATTCATGCTTGATGAATTAAACAAATAAAAATAAATTTTGATCACAGGGATGTGACGAAGGTCATAAGTATGAAAAACAGCCGTCACATTTTGTACCTTTGAATGGCACTGAATGAATGAACTGTTGCAAGTTGAGGGTTTACCTGTTTAACGTAATCTATACACTGCCTAGTAATTAAATCCTGGACTAGATAAGTAACATACGCGAGGGTGGATGGAGTTCACTACCGGAGATCTTTCGATGCGAATCTTTTTTCGTCTTTTGTTATTTTAGGCCAGAGGTCTTCAAACTTGGCCGCTTTAAAACTGGCGGACTTCAACTCCCAGAATTCTCCAGCCAGCTCTGCTGGCTGCAGAATTCTGGGAATTGAAGTCCGCCAGTCTTAAAGTTGCCAAGTTTGGAAACCCCTTTATTTAAGCTCCCTCCCTTATCGCAGCAACCAAACTACAAATCCCCCCACTCCTTCTCGGTCCTATGGCGCTCCACCTCCCTCCCGAGCGGCGGCTTTCCCACCCACGGGGATAGGACAAGAGGCTTCTCCGTCGCAGGAAAAGGCACCACCTCCTCCCGCCTTCCATGTGCGAGAAAACGAATGGCTGAACGCGGGAACGAGCGGATCCGACACTTACGAGCCCGTCCTTCGTCCGCGATCGATCTCCGCTCAGAACGGCTGCGGGACCCCCCACGGCGTCAAGGGCCGACTGGGCTGGCAGGTGAAGTGGGGCGGGCGGCGGCAGGGCGGGCGGCGGTTGTGGTGGCGGCGGCGGCGGTATTAGCAGTCTGGCCCGAGGACCGCTCCGTCGAACAGGCTGCTGCATGGAGCCCCCGCACATCGATTGAAGCCGCGGCTGGAAGAAGGCAAAAGCAATCAATCCAGGAGCCAGAGATAGCTTTACGTAAAATACGCAACACTCCGATTCTTGAAATCCAAAGAGGCCGGAAAAATCCAACTTGGGGTTTCTTAGTTGAAACAGAGCCCGGGATCCAAGAAGGGAAGGAAGCAAACTTCCTAATAGTCGGTCGAAAATGATACCCTCCCGAAGAGGAAATTTAAGAGTGTTATTATAAATATAGAACCGGGCTTGCTCGAACGCCATCCCGAAAATACTTCAGACTGAAGGGGAAAATATGAAAACACAACAATGGAAAGAGGGAAGGGAGAGAGGAGAGGGAAGAGGACGGAAGAGAGGAAAAGAAGAAAGGGTAAAAGAGAGGAAGAAAGGGAAGGGCAGTAAGAGTAGGAGACAGGGTAAAAAGGGGAGGAGTAGGAAAGAAAGGAAAGGAGAGGAGGAAAGAAGAAAGTAGAGAAGAAGGGAGGGTAGGAGAAAAGAGGGAAGAAGTAGGGTTATTGTAATGTAAGATGGATGTACGGGATGGCAGGAAAGCAATCTTGATTATATTATGCTTTCCAGGGAAGAATGGAATCAAATGTTAAAGGGTAAACATAATACTAACAATATGAGAAATGTATATTTGTGAAAGTATGTATGAGAAACAAAAATAAAAAACACTTTAAAAAATGATACCCTCCCCTTTGCTCTGGCTTTTTCTTTTTATTAAGGGCAACTGGGGCGGTGATAACCGTTTTAACTGGCAAAAACCTTGACGTTTCCGCATCGCTTCCTTGCGCCTGAAAAAAACATTTAAATTTCTGTTCCGGGTTTGACAAAAAAAAAAAACCAAAACCTAGCAATCCTGTTAAATAAAATATTGAGGATCAGCATCCAAAAAAAGTAAAAAAAAAGTTGGATCTACAGTAGTATTTTTACCTGGATTCAATTCAGTGCACCTGACTGCACAACACTTTAGGCATCACCAAGTCCAAATTGTCAAGGTTTGAGGTAGATTTCATATTTTTTAAAAATCATGGTATATGCCTGGACAACCTGTTCCCTTGCAAAAGGTTATGTCAAACAATTATTTCCTTTTCCAGATTTTTAATTCAGGATATAAGCTTGAAATATAATACAATAAAATATGACATGCAGAGTTCTGTATTTTGCTAAGTGAGTTTGTATGCCAAAAGCCAGTGTCATGTTTCTTGAATGGGGCAGCTACATAAGTTATATAAATACCATTGTAAAGGTCCTTAAGCCAATGATATGTATTGTATACACTGGAGTTTTTATTTCTAGCTGGACTGCTGGGAATTGTCTGCTCAATTCATCTAATAGGCACCAGCTTTGGACTTCCTGTACTTTATGAAATGCTATGATTCTGTGTAATATTTATAATGTACAAGGAAAAATAAAAGGTGAGGAATAAGTTCCATCCTCTTAAGGAAGGGACTAATTTAAGTAAGAATTCCTTCTAGAAATTCATACTCAGCAGCAGAATCCAATCAGTTTAATCTGTATTTGAGAGAAAAATGAAAAAGTCTAACTGTGAATCCCCAATTCTCTATTTAAATGTAGATAAATTCAAGCAAGTCACTCCAGAGGTTTGCAATCTTGGAAAATTTTAGGGATGCATATGCGTTAGGTTTTATATTCATTATATGGCCTCTGTTAAACAGCACACCTTTCAATATTTGCTGAAAAAGAGAAGATCCTATTAGAAACATGACTTGCTTAAATATTTTCAAAGGTATCTGTAGAATAACAATAATGGAATATCAGCCTTTGGTTTGACCATTGACCTCATCTTGTGGCCATTTTTTATGCATCATTTTTCCAGAGGTACAGTTAGACCCCACCCTGTTGGTTTTATGAAAAGTCATTAAAAAAACCATGGTTTTTTAGCAGATTTGGGGATCATGAATGGAGACATTGGATCAAGTAGCTGATTTGATTATGTTGCTGCCATGGAATTTTTTTTAAAATGGGCATTTATTATATGATGGATTTTTAGAATTGTGTAAGCTTCCTGGAACTGCCTATGTATGAACTGGGTTCATACATAGGCAATTATATAGATTAGTTTTAGAAATAAATAGCAGGGTTTTTCTTACATTCAGTCTTCAGAATCTTATTGGATATTTATGGTATTTACACATCAGCATGCCCCATTTACACTAATCCAAAAGAACAATGCTACTTACATCAGCTTCAAGAAATGGTAATCGCATTGGCCGCAGTTCACCAGTGGGTGAGCCCATGCCAGTCATGCTCCATGGAAGCTGCCGCCTGTCACATGGCGGAGTGATACGACGACTTGACATTCTTTCTGAGAGAATAATATATCACACAATATTCACACTTCTGAAATCTGTCCTCACTAATGAGTACATCAATCTACACTTTCAATATGTTGCCTTTACGGAGCATAAGGACCGAAGAATCTTTTTTTTTTGTCAAGTTTATGGGTACTTCTTTTAGAAATTGTTTGACTACAGTCAAAAACTGCTAACTTGATATGACAAAACAATGGCAATATTCACTGTACTGGAGGTTCTTGTTTTGGAAACTCCAACGTAGTTCTATTTTCCCTCTCTTTTTGCTTTCGGAGGGAAAGTTCCTCGGCAGCAAAGTGTCTCTTGCTTGACTCAGAAACTATACAATCTCATTGTGTGCTACTGTTCAAATAAACAGGGAAAAATTCTTCATGCATACCCTTCTTATTCCTTAACTTGTAAGGCTGGCCTTAGCATTAGTGGCAAAGCATAAAATTGCAGTCTTTTAGCCCACCGCCTTTTTGTATTGTTCCTGTTGAGGCATATAGAGGGAAAAAAACACATTAGGGTTATAAAATGCAGGACAATCACAAGTATCCTTTTTTTAAAAAAAATAATGCAGTGTGTTATAAAATGTTACACTGCACCCTTCTGCCTTTATTCTTGCTGCATTTTGGGGAGATCACACATAGTGAGCACAAATGGTCTCTAACAATTGCAAAACTGGTGACAAATTCCAAAATAGACCTGATCTCATCCATGACTTGTTTGGCTCTCCTTGTGCTCTCAGATAGCCCATTTTTATTAAGTAAGTAAGAAATAAGGCGAAACTGCGGCTTTACCCCCTATAATTAAAACTCTGCACCAGACTGATATGGATCCATCATATACATTCAACCTGTCCTAATCATGGCTGTGTCAATGGCTGATATGCAACCCGCAGCAGCTCTCAGGGGTGTCCACTCATGTAAAGGAATTGCCTCATTCAAACTTTGCGGCAGGGGCTTTCGTCTAAAAGTGTGTCCGAGAGAGGGAAGGTAAGCAGCCTTCACCCCGCAACCCCTTCAGTCCTGCCCTGACTGCTGCTGCTGCTGCTGCAAACGCGCCGCTGTTAGAAGCCGGCTGCCGTTGCTTGAGAAACTACGCAATTTGCGTTGAGGAAAAGCGAGGCCGAACGCCCCCCCACAGCGGCGGAGCGATGACAGACTAACTCATGCGCCTCTTTCGGTAATCAGCGCAGTGTACGCCTTTAACGTACAAATGCCCGATACGTTTACGCTCCTTCTCGCCCCGCCTTTCTAAGCGACGGCGAGCTTGCTTGGAATGGGAACCGGTGCTCTCACTCAGCCGAAACGGTTAGGAAGAGGCGGGTGCTGTCTATGTAGATAGCCAATGAGCGGTCGAGAGTCTCGGAGTGAAGGGGAAAGACTCGCCAATCCGAACGCGCAGGCGGTTTAAAGGGCGTTGAAGGTAGGCGGGAGGACATTTGAATTCAAACGGCGGTGGAGCCTGCCACATCGACTGCAGAGGTGAGCGGCCCTCCAAAGAAGGGTGGCTGGTGGGTGGCGGGGCTGTCGGGAGTGCCTTGTAAATGCTGGAGGGGAGAAGCTTTTTTCCTAAAACGCTGGCGCCCGCCCGTTTGGTGGCTTCCTTGAGCGTTATTATAGAATAGGTGTGATGGCCGGTGGGGATGGTAGTTGTAGTCTAACCACTATAGGGACTAGTGAACATCGTGGGACTGTAGCCGTTTCGTTATTACACCCTCACAAGGTGAAAAGTATGGCGAGGACTGGGTGATGCTCTAAATCTGCCTTATAGAATGACTTTATAAAAATTTCTTTCCGTTGGAATAACTCTCTTCAATTCCTTTAAAATGCTACACGAGAGTTGGTTTTCTTTTTTGCCTGCCCTTTAGTCTTTTTTTTTGCTGTCTAACCTGCTTTTAACCCTAAAGGCAGGGGCTCAAATCCTTAATTAAACTTCCCTGCGAGTTGGTTACTTTATAAAAAAAGAAACCAGCACCATAAAGGAGGGGATAAGGAAATAAGCAGCGAATGAATGTTTTTATATAAATAAAAATAAATGAACTCTTTGGAAAAACAATGGATTCTAATGCCTAGGTTTCTCTGATGAGCACTGCATTTAATGCAACAGATTTCAGACAAACTATGTTTTATCAAAGCATTAGAGAACAAGGTGCTATACAGTGTGTATTGAAATGGAGTGAGATATCCCTCATCCCTTCCATATAAATAGGTGTGTCCATTTAGCAAGTCAACATATCAACAATAAAGAATACAGCAAACAGCTTAAGTGATTGTGGATAAAAGTTGCATTAAGACTGGGAGAAAACTGTATTAAGACTGTTTGGTTCTAGGTGGCTTTAGCTACTTGTTGAGGAAAATTGGTCTCTCTGACCATTTGTGTAATTGCTAATACTTAGAAAACAGGAAATAAAGTACTTTGTCATACGTACTTTCACAAAATGGTTCTCATGGAGGATGGAAAATTACAGGACTCTTATTTGCCAGAAATAAAACTAGTAGCATTCCTTATTGCATTTTGTACTACAATAGTTTCCCAAACACCTTTGTTTCTGAGCAGATGGGCATACTTCCACACACAAAAAAACTGGACTGCAGTTATCCACCATATTAATTTTATAAGAATGCCTCTGAAGTCTTTGTGGAACCTGGAAGAAACCTTGAGGGAAAATGAGGTTTTATTTTGCAGCAAGTTTCCTTTTAAAAAATGCTGAGTTCCAACTGAGGGATAATCAGTCCATTGGTACCATATTGTAGTTCCATGATTTAAAATATCTGTGAGTCAAACAAGATGTCTTTTCTGAAAAGTATATATTTAATAAAAGTTATGCAACTCTTCAACCAGACAAACCAACATGACCTTAGGCTTGTGTTTTTCAAATCTTTGGTACTTTGATGTCTCTTAATCTCCTTGTTCCAAATGAAAACCTAAAAATTAACTTGCATTACCATGAATGCCTTTGTAACTTCAGAGAGCACAATTATAAAGCCTTTTTAGCCAGTTTATGCTATTGAAATGCTTTCATAATTTAAGAAAGAAACTGCCTTTATTTGCCTATGTGATGTATATTGTATGGTGCATTACCTATAAATTGATGTGTACTTCCTTGAGGTCAGAATTCATGCAGTAGGATGACGTAATTTTTCCAAGGGTTTACTAATATGAGTAGATTGAAGATATTGAAGTGATAGTTTCAAATCGTGACCCGTCAAAACTGCGCTCGACTAAGCCGCGCCCAATTAAACCGCGTCGCTGACATCATCAACAGGGCGACAACAGCCAGCGTGGAGAAAGAAGGGCGCTTTAAATAG